AAAAAAAAAAAAAAAAAAAAAAAAAAAAAAAAAAAAAAAAAAAAAAAAAAAAAAAAAAAAAAAAAAAAAAAAAAAAAAAAGAAAATGTAATTATATAATCAAAAATCATCTTAAGTAATTGGTGACAATAGTTACCTTTACAGCAAGGAACTTTGGAGGGAAGGGCAAAACCCAGAACAGAGGATTTTACTTTGGATTTTTCCCCCTTCCTATACTGTTTGCATGTGATTCCTTTCTCTCTTTCTTCTTTTTTATGTCAACAGGTGGTAGCTGGGTAGAAGAATATGGAAGTTTTTTTGTTCTCTTTCTTTCTCTTTTGTATACTCACAAAATATTTCTTTTGCCTCCCTAACCAATTCTATAGATTTCACTCTGATAATTTAGCACACTCTTAGCATATTTTATGTATATGTCCTACATTCTTTGAATAGACTAGAACCTCCGAGTCTCTTTTTTTTTTCTGAGATGGAGTTTCACTTTTGTTGCCCAAGCTGGAGCGCAATGGCGTCATCTTGGCTCACTGCAACCTCTGCTTCCTGTGTTCAAGTGATTTTCCTGCCTCAGCCTCCCAAGTACCTGGGATTACAGGTGCGCACCATCGCACCCAGCTAATTTTTTGTATTTTTAGTAGAAACAGGGTTTCACCATGTCAGCCAGGCTAGTCCCGAACTCCTGACCTCATGTGATCCACCCACCTCGGCCTCCCAAAGTGCTGGGATTACAGGCATGAGCCACTGCACCTGGCCCTTCTGAGGTTTTTTTTTTTGAGATGGGGTTTTGCTCTTGTTGCCCAGGCTGCAGTGCAATGGCTCGATCTTGGCTCATTGCAACCTCTGCCTTTTGGGTTTAAGTGATTCTCCTGCCTCGGCCTCCCAAGTAGCTGGGATTATAGGCATGTGCCACCATGCCTGGCTAATTTTGTATTTTTAGTAGAGACGGGGTTTCTCCATGTTGGTCAGGCTGGTCTTGAACTCCTGACCTCAGGTGATTGCCTGCCTTGGCCTCCCAAAGGGCTGGGATTACAGTTGTGAGCCACCTCACCCAGCCTAAGCTTCTTAATACATTCCTTCTCATTCTAACTAAGAGCCAGGTTAGAACAATCCAGTAAATGCTATTTCATGCTTAGGCTAATATGCTACCTTGTTTCTCTCTGGTATAAGATTTAAATAATTGGCTGGGTGTGGTGGCTCACGCCTGTAATCACAACATTTTGGGAGGCTGAGGTGGGCAGATCACCTGAGGTCGGGGGTTTGATACCAGCCTGGCCAAAATGATGAAACCCTGTCTGTACCAAAATCACAAAAATTAGCTGGGCATGGTGGTGGGCACCTGTAATCCCAGCTATTTGGGAGGCTGAGTCAGGAGAATCGCTTGAACTTGGGAGGTGGAAGTTATGGAGCCGAGATTGTGCCACTGCACTCCAGCCTGGGCAACACAGCAAGACTCTCTCTCAAAAAAAAATAAATAAATAAAAATAAAAAGAATATAATGAACAAGGCTTGCCTTCCAATTTTTCATCTGGGAGGTAGAAAAGACAGTTAACACTTCATACCTGATACATCAAACTTTGCCTTTTGCAGGGAATCAAATATATCATTTCTCTTGGGTAGATCTGGGAAAAGCGCCTCTAGTTTCTCCACATATTTGCTGTCCTTTGGGGTTGCCTTTCCAATTTTAAGGTCCATGTTGACACAGTCCAGGACGATGGTTCCTGTGGAGAAGGGAGATGGTGGAACTTGAATCCTGTGACCCTCCACACACGCCCACCAGAACATACATAACCTTCACACCAAATGAACACAATACAGTTATTTGCACAGCAAACTCTCTGAAAGCAAAATGAGAAACTGGGACTGACTGTGTCCTGAGACCTCCCAAATCCAAACTAAAATGTAGGTAGGGAAATGGGGAAAAGGTAGAAAGCCTGAGCATCTCAATCCCTGGAGATTTTACAGCCTAGTCAGAGAGAGACACACCTCTTCAGTAGGCCAAATCCCATCAAAGAATCTTCTAAGTTGGAAGAGACAGTCTAGTCCAACTCTCTCTCTCTTTTTTTTTTTATAAGTGGAAAAATGAGAACAAGAAAGGTTAAGAGATTTGCTCAAGGTCGCCTCACTATTTCCTGGAGGAATTGGTATTAGAATCTGTTTCCTGTTGCTTTGGCGAGTCCTCCTTCCATCATAAAATGATGCCAACAGGAAGCTTCTTGGTCTGTTGCCCTGTACTTTCCCCGACAAGTATCCCACAGGCCTTTAAACAGATGCTTAATTGTCTCCCGAAAGAATCCCATCCTTTGGTAGGAACTGAATGGCTCTGATAGCATATGGTTAGGCTGGAAGAGTCTAGACTTTTCCACCCTCCCATCTCAGGGATAGGAATAGAACTACTCAGGTTCCAATCGAAAAGCTACCCTCACCATGCAGAAGGGCTGCAGTTTGCCTGTCCAAGATCTCTGGTGCCCCCTGCAGGATTCTCTCGGTCACCAGCGTAGCGCAGGACCCCACCAGCTCAACTGAAACATGGCAGGGAGGGCAGTGTTTCTGCTCGATGGGCCGATGATCCAGCACCTCTGCTACGGCATCCTCTAGGGCTGCATCACTTCTGTGGAGGGGAGGGTACGGGAAAAGAGAAAAAAAGATAGGTAGGGACACTCCAGCTGCTTCTAACCAATCTCCACCCCACCCATCAAGGAAAGCACAGATGTCTTAGGCAAGCTTTTTTTTTTTTTTTTGAGACAGAGTTTCACTCTTGTCACCCAGGCTGGAGTGCAATGGTGCTATCTTGGCTTACTGCAACCTCTGCCCCTTGGGTTCAAGTGATTCTCCTGCCTCAGCCTTCCAAGTAGCTGGGATTACAGGCCCCCACCACTACGCCTGGCTAATTTTTTTGTCTTTTGAGTAGAGATGGGGTTTCGCCATGTTGGCCAGGCTGGTCTTGAACTCCTGACCTCAGGTGATCTGCCAGGTAAGCATTTAAAACTGACCTTTGGTCATTTTACCTCTGCCTCACTTCTCTCAGTTCTTGTCTTTAATGTTATAATTGGAGTCATCTTTAAATAGTGTATAAGCGAATTCTGTGAAGCATCTGCTACAAATATCTTACGCCCACATTTGCTGTCCTTTAGTGTTGCCTTTCCAGTCCTACAGCCTTGCTACCCAACAAATCTCTCCTATTTTTACAACCCACTCAACACTCAGATTCCATGTGGGTCACCAGGTCCTGTGAATTCTATCTTAATCCCTATCCGTGCCCTAGTTTCTAACTCTCTGTTACTGCCCTGTTCTAGGCCCTCAATATCTCTTGTCTGGACTATTCCAATAGTCTCTTAATCAATCACCTGCATCCAACCAAAAGCCTTCCTGGGCTGTCCTTCACAAAGTGGCCTGAGTGATCATTTGAAAAAAGAAAATCTGATTATTTTAGGACCCAGAATAAATATAATTTAAAATAGCTCCCCATTGCTTAAAATAAAATCCAATCTACTTAGAAGGGCCTGCAAGGCCTCCATAATCTGCCTCCTGCCTGCCTCTGTCTCATCTTTTTCCATGTCCTACTTCTTCCTCAGATTTTATGATGCAGCTGTGCAAAACAAATTCTAGTTCCCCTAGCTCACCATGCTATTTCATGCCTGCCTGCATTTGCTTCTATTCATTACACCCTCTGCCTGGAATGCCTTTCCTAACCACTTGCCCTCTTCCCTTCCCATTCACCAAACAAACACCTAGTCCTCTTTTAAGACTGAGATCAATGCTCGCTTCAGCAGCACATGCACTAAAATTGGAATGATACAGAGATTAGCGAGGCCCCTGAGCAAGGATGACACACACATTTGTGAAGTGTTCCATAAAAAAAATACATATATATATATATATCTTTAAAATGAAAAATAAAATAAAATTTTATTATTATTATTTTTTTAAAGACAGGGTTTCACCATGTTGGTCAGGCTGGTCTTGAACTCCCGACCACAGGTGATCCGCCCGCCTTGGCCTCCAAAGTGCTTGGATTACAGGTGTGAGCCACTACGCCCAGCCATAAAATAAATTTTTAAAAAGACTGAGATTAAGGGTCACCTCTGCCAGGAAAACTTTCCTGATGTTCTCGCCTTTCTTCTGGTGTACTGAACCACTCTATCCTTCTTGTACCTACTGTTCCCTAGAGATGACAGTTATCACTGACCTCTAACACCCATTATAATGATCTGTTTGCTTAGTTCCCTCTCCTTGACTGAAAGCATGAAAACTGGGACTCTGTCTCAACTTCATCCGTTAAAGAAACGTTTACTACTAGCTGGGCGTGGTGGCTCAGCACTTTGAGAAGCTGAAGTGGGAGGATCATTTGAGGCCAGGAGTTCAAGACCAGACTAGGCAACAAAGCAAGAAGACCCCCATCTCTAAAA